CCCCACCAGGAGATGAAGCTGTGTCCTGTGGCTTGTTTCCGAGGAAAGGACAAAGTCATCGCTGCTCACACGTGAGGTGAGCCGTCCCTGCAACAGCGCTCAGAGCAGCTTCTGAGGGAGCAGCAGGCGGGTGGACCAGACCTCAGGCCAGCAAGACAGCGCTTCCTGCCCACCGTGAAGAAAACTGATTCCCAGAGAACACATGGTTGGAAGGGAGAACCTGCTCCCACAGGTTACCCTCCGATGCCCATATGCATACCATAACATACGTGCCACTCACAACACACTAAATATGTAATATGTTTTAAATTCTTTTGAAGAGATGGTACGACATCACTGCTTCCGGTGGCAGAAAAGCTGCCTGTGTTTGGGGCCGGTGGGCTTGGGCAGAAGGATCAGACTCTGGGGCCAGTCTTGGATACATTTTTGTTGTTGTTGTTGTTGTTGTTTGGGTGTTTTGTTTTGTTTTGTTTTGTTCTTTTGGTTATCTGAGACCTCAAAAGCAAGAAGCAAACGAGCAGAGGATGAAAAGAAGAAAAAAATCTTCTCCCAGCCAAACTGAATGAGAGGCCTTCTTGGAACTCCTTCGCTACACACAGTGATTCTGGCTTGAAGAACCGATTCTAATGAAAGAAAAAAGCCCCTTCAGTGAGTGAAAAGGACCGGAGCTGGAGAGAAAGCAGTGTTTAGTGCTCAGGGCTTAAGAACAGTCTTGGTCATTGTTGTATTGCGTGCAGCTCAACCATCAGAAATCCTTTTAAAGGCTGTGAGGTGCATACTCGCTCACCCAAGACAGCACATTGCCCAAACTCTACTGAGCAGGCACTCAGAGAGATGTAGCTGGCTCCCTAGACCTCCCATGGTTCGGTGGGTGGTTGGACGGATGGAGCAAGGCTTCTTCAGTGTCTCCCTGTTTGTCTGAGAAAGTTTTCTGCAACCCCAGGTATGTAGGTGTGTAAAACAGGCACAAACTCAAACACTTAATAATAAGAAATTATAAAGAAATTTACTTTTAAAATATTCTCTGGTATACATGTAATTTTACGTTTGTTTGTTTGGTTTGGTTTGGTTTTGGTTTCTTTGAGACAGGGTTTCTCTTCGTAGTCCTGGAACTCACTCTGTAAACCAGGCTGGCCTAGAACTCATAGAGATCTGTCTGCCTCTACCTCCTAAGTGCTGGGATTAAAGGTGAGTGCCACCACTGCCTGGCAATTTTACCATTTATTAAAGAAAGAAGCAAATTTGCATACTGAGATAAATGTACTCATTTATTTTACATACAGAATTAAAGTGTGGCTATTTGATACTGCAAGATGCACATCTTCAATGTTTTCTAGAAGTACTTACTATTTAGATTTTATAGTGGTCAGTATGAGGACATTGGTTCATATAAATATGTGGGACAAAACCAGTGGCTTTAGTGTGAGTTCAAAGATCATTGGAAACTCTGTCCTCATAACAAGTCAAAATCCATTCAGCAATTTTTCATGGAAGTCAGCAACACAAGTAGCAAATTTTATTATCTTTTATCTATTTGTGCACATGTGGGTTGTTTTTTGGAACAGAGTCTCATGTAGCTCAGCCTAACTTTGATCTTGTTCTTTAGCCTAGGCTGGTCTTGAACTCCTGGCTCTCGTGCCCCAGTCTTCCAAGTACTGGAATTACAGATATGCGATACCATGTCCAGCTAAACAGCGTAGTTTTTTCTTTTTGAGTGTGTGTGTACATGGTATGTGGTTTGCGTGGTATGTGTGTGTGTGTCTGTGCACATGTAGTCACATGTGTGTAGAGTCCTGAGACTGACTTTGGATACCTTCTTGATTTCTCTCTACTTTCTTTATTAGGTAGGTTTTTCCCTGAACCCAGAGCTCACCGATTTGTCCACTCTAGCTAGTCGGCTTGCCCTGAGGAACCCTTTCTCGATCTCCTAGTACAGGGATTACAGGCAGGCTACCATGTTCTTCCGGTTGTGATGACAATATTGGGGGATTTGAACGTGTATGACAAGCACTTACCCACTGAGCCATCTCCTCAGCCCACGAACAGCAATTTTTTAAACTCAAACATTCTAACATGATATAATCTACAGGTATTCAAAAATGATACATGCAGGAAAATGATGGTAGGAAAATACTAAAGTCTTTTTTCTCATAATTAAATCGTTAATTTCTATAAATAAGCACAGAAGAATGAATATGTACAGTAAAACACTGCAATCCACAACACAACAATCTCAGATCTCACCAAGGTGCTGCAAGCAAGGTTTTGCTGGCCTTGGGAGGTGTACCACATGTGCACAAGCAAGGCTTTGCTGGCCTTGGGAGGTGTACCACCCACATGTGCACAAGCAAGGCTTTGCTGGCCTTGGGAGGTGTGCCACCCACATGTGCACACGAAGTGCAAGAGCTGTACACGAGTGCACAGCCGAGCCGCCGCAAACACTGATCCACTAGACCTGGGGTTTTGAATGAAGTTTTTGGTTGTTGCACGTTCAGAAACCTTTTACTGTGGCCAAATTGTCATGATCCTCTCATTCAGTTCTGTGGAACTCCAATTTAGGAAGCTGGAGGGGCCAGGCAAAAACAAAAACAAAAGACGCAAAAACAAACTGTGGCCTCAGGGAGTTTTGCTGCACCCGGCCACATGGGAGGCTGGGCCTGGGGTAGGAACTCTCTTCCTCCCTGGCAGGAGGAAAGGCCGAGCACGATGCCAGGGCATGAGTCCGGTTATGGCTGCCCTCCCCTCCTCCATGGCTTGGGTCCAAACCAGAATTTTCTGAAGGTTCCTGGAAGTCACAATCTCTGTGGGCTTCATGTTCTGGTCTGTGAAATGAGACCCACGTGTACCCATGGTCTGACTGATCCTATCCTTGTTGTTTTGTTTGTTATTTCAGTGCAATGGAACCCAGGGCTTCGCCTGGGCTCTCCCGTTGAGCCACACCCCTAGCCCCATGAAAATAAGGTATAGCAAAAACCGCTCAAATCTGTGGTGAGGTTTCATGGACCACACAGAAGCAGATGGCATCGTAGACATTTATTCTGGGTCTATCCCGACACTAGGCTGGTCACAGGCAGTGAACCAATGAACGCTGCTCTCATGATCGCAAGAAAGGTATAGACTAGAAAAGGTGTGTGGCGCATTGAAGGTCCCAGAGCCAATGGTCAAGGTCAGTTTGCAGCCACTGTCACAACTTCAGTTCATATAAAACCTGACGGTTTTCCAGGGACCCTTGAGATAGGCAGGGACTGAAGGGATAGAGGGAGACAGCACGTTCAAGATAGTATATATCTTCAAGATGCAGTCAAGATACAGTCCCTGGGTGGGATCCTCCACCCTTTCCGTGTGCCAAGTCTGGGTATGCTATGGCTAAAGGAGGAAACTGAATCACAGGTACCCTTCTCAAAATAGGGCTCTACCACCCTCACCTCTGACTTTCTCTGGAGAGCCTTGAATTGGAGGGCGGGACCGCTGAGCAGCGAGCACCTGGGGACCAGACACCTTGTGCAAGCACTGCCTGAGGCCCAAGGCTTGCCTGCGTTAGGGTCGGTTCCTTCCCCCTCGTTCTCGTCTTCCTCCTGAACAGCAGGAATTGCAATCATGTGTGGGGTGTGTGCATGTGTTATGCATGTGGATGCCTGTTTGCTGTACACTTGTACATTCTGAAAACAAATGTGTGGTTAACATCACTGCCACCATCATCCAGGTGAGGAGACTGGGCTCAGAGCAGGCGTTGGAAGTGGAGGGTATCATGGAAAGCACTCGACTCTAGGTTCTAGTCCCAGCTCAGTCCCCAATCCTCGGGAACACCTTGGATAAGTAACCGGCCCTCCCTTGGCCTCAGTTTCCCCCTTTAACCATAGCATAAAGTCTCCACTCTACACTCGTCAGTCCCTCCCAAACTTCTGTTCCTCGGACTATTGCTGGCCAGGAGGTCTAGAAGGCCATCATCTGAATGCACTGAGCTGTCCCACCTTTGAGTCTTCAGAGAAGGAAGAGGCATGGAGTAGGCCCATCTTCTAGGCCTCAAGAGTCTCAGCAGCTGTGACAGCAGGCGGCCTCGCCTGGACACTGACCAAGTGAGTGGCACCAAGACTAGAGGGTCCCTAGCAGGCACTGTGGTTTCCTTGAGCTTATAGGACTGGCTGTGCCACACACGTGCCGCAGAAATGCCTTCTTCCTATGGCAAGGGTGGCTCTGTGCTGACGGGTGGTAACTGGAATCTGTTGCAAACAGCGCTGAGCAATGGCTGACAGAACCCGAGTTCTTCCTGAGAGCCCGGCACCGTATCCATGCAAATCTCTATCCCGGGAGATAGTTTTATTATCTCATTTATAGAGACAGACCAGACTTGTCACATCTCAGAGACAGGAGTGAGCTTTGCTGAACAGAAGCCTTCATTTCCCCCAGCTGACCCTAGTGACTGCACCACGCAGGGCCAGGACCCCAGAGCCACGGAGCACGGGCAATGGGAGTTGCTCTCTGGCTGAGGTTTTTTGGCTGAAGGTAAAGCAAAATGACTTATGGGTGATTAACTGCGAGAAAGCCAGTACTAGGCCTTTTGCCTTGGAAATTTGTCACGGGCCGTCCGGTTGTTTTCCATCCCTTTCCAGAAGGAAGACCTTCCAGTCTGCTCCGACAGTTCCTCACAGTTGGTTATGGATGAGGCACTGCCCCTCCCTTGACCACTCAGTCAGTGAGAAAGCCAGTGGACACAGTCTTCTCTACAGGAACTGGTGCTGGTGGTGGCCACCATGGAGGCGGGGGAGGCCCTGCGGCAGTTCCCTGGGGTAGCTGAGGGAACAAACACGGAAAACAGGGGACGTCAATCCTTATCTGGAGTTCATTAATGAGAACATTAGTCAGCTGTGAAAGCCAAGATGGTAAGATAGAACATTGGGTGGGCAGGGGCAGGGGTGGGGGCAAGGCCACCATGGGAGAACATGGTATTGGCAGACACACCTCCTCTATCCCACGTGCCCAAATCCAGGATAGAAAGGCCCTATAAGTGCCCAAGGTCCAGCCTCCAGAGAGGCCCAAAGAAAGAGAGGAGAGAAAAAGAGAGGGGGCAAGGAAAAGCCACTCCCGTGGCCCAGACCCCTGGCCAGGGCTCAGAAGGCTGGGCAGCATGTGGGAACTCCGATCCATAGCCTTCTCCCGGGCCGTGTTGGCTGAATTCCTGGCCACGCTCCTTTTCGTTTTCTTTGGCCTTGGCTCAGCCCTCCAGTGGGCCAGCTCCCCACCGTCTGTGCTCCAGATTGCTGTGGCCTTTGGCCTGGGCATTGGCACCTTGGTTCAAGCTCTGGGCCATGTCAGCGGGGCCCACATCAACCCTGCTGTGACTGTGGCCTGCCTAGTGGGCTGCCATGTCTCCTTCCTTCGAGCTGCCTTCTACGTGGCTGCCCAGCTGCTGGGGGCTGTGGTCGGGGCTGCAATACTCCATGAGATTACTCCAGTAGAAATCCGCGGGGACCTGGCTGTCAACGCTGTGAGTAGCCTGAAGCTCTGCCCCTTCTTGGAGGGGTGGATACTGAGAACCGTTGGGTTGGATGAGCTATGTGGACAGGCTGAGTGGAGAAACAGAGCTAGGCTAGAAACACAGCTACATCAGGAGAGCTGAGGAGAGAGCCAGAGTCACCAGGAGCAGAATCCTGTTGACCACCTGGGGGCCTTGCACCCAGTCCCACCAAGGTAGAGCATGCTCGGGTTTCTGTTATACTCCAGAGGAGGCCTAGTGTGGAGTGCAGCCAGACACAGCACCCTAGAACAGACAGGCAGGCCCTTGGGGCCTCGGGAACTTCCAAGTGCAGTTGCGGAGATCTAGAGATGAAGGGATGAGCTCTCCCCACAGCGCTGACTGTGTGAGGACGAGACAGTTCGTTCCTCACGAGCCAAACACTGACAGTTCTCTAAGGGAGGGTGGGCTCAGGTGGGTAGGGTGTGTGCCAAACCCTCAGATCCTGATTCAGCTGCAAAACCCATGATCTCTCCCTCAACCAATTGTCCTAAATACCATCTGGGCTTTGTCTCGCAAACAAAGAAACAGAATTGGGAAGGGAAGCGGTGGAGCTTCCCTCTAGAGTTTACTCATGCCAGAATTACCAGAACCCGACAGAAGCCTGCAGGGAGGGTCTGGAGCTTGCCAAGCAATGGTGCCTTTGTGCCATGGTGGTGCACAGCGCCTGAAACACTTTGAGAGGAGAAAATGGAGCCAGGGTTCTTCTCCTCTCCAATCTGTGTGGGCCTAGGAATCTAGGGACAAGGCACAACTGGACCCCTACCCCGACCCAGGAAAGCAAGAACCTCTCACACCTCCTTCTCCATTTCGCCACTTGCTTGCTCCCTCAGCCCTGCACACGCTCACCTCATCTGAAGGAGTGACTTTTCTCATGAGAGGGACAGAGAACACTCTTCTTCAGACTGGAGAATACAGTGAGACTGGACACCTACAGTCAAAAAGGCTAGGGGGGCCGAAGCGAGGGATGGAATGTATCTATTGCTATTAAAAATTAAATGAGTTTTACAACAGGCAGACACCCAGCTAGAGTCAAAGAAGAACTTCCTGAGAGCACACCTCAGGCTTTTTCTAGCAGGAAGACACTGGGGAAACTAAGACCCTGGGGAGCGGCCAGCCCTTGTCCTCCAACATCTCCCAGCCTACCCAGCAGTCACCATCAAAGGCTGTTCCTCTGCACTGACCCATCTTGCGTGGTGGCGGGAAGCCTGCCTGTCTGGAATAAGGCAGCATAGTGCCCATTTGTCCTGAGGCTGGCGAGAGACCAGTGACCATCCGAGCTGCTCGTGTTCTCTGAGGATGACACCAAGAGTCAGCTTGGACCACAGGAAGTTGCCCTTGATGCGGATCTGCCCTTTGCCAGGTCACATACTAGTTTATCCTTGGTACAGCGTTGTAAGTTTAGTTCTGAAATCTCCCGATCCTATAGTTTTAACCCGGCATTCAGTGGGCCCAAATCATGGAGGCAGTAAACAATGACATTCTAGAAATAGACCTGGCTATGTGACATCAGACCCACATCTTGAGCATCCCCCTTGAACAGCCACCGCCAACAAGAGTGGGGTTAGAGGCTCACCCTTGTCATCCTTGATTCTCCAGGATTGGTTTTATCATCCCCATTGTACAGAATGGGACACTGAGACCAAAGCAAATAGTCCCCCAGTAAACAGAAGCCTCAAAAGCAGCAGTTTCAAGCCCTCTTTCCCGTCTCTAGGAGGCTGTAGCAGAGTTGAAGCTAGACCCTAGAAAGACCTTGAAGCACAAGGCTAGGAGCTCAGGACCTAGAGAAGGAGTGTGGGGCTTAGGAATTGTCCCCAGCCCTCCCTGTGCAGTGCTCAACCCCAGAGGGCAGGGTGTGGGGTACAGGATGACAAACCCAGGGAGAAACAGCACTGGGTGTGGCCAGGTTATGAAACGGCCTCTTAGCTCAGCCCCAAGTTCTCTTCTTTCCCACAGCAGGAGCTGCATTGACCATGGACACCCCACCTTCAGCATTCTAGGGCTCCCCCCCTCCTCCACAGGATGTGCAGGGAGCAGCCCTGGGGACAGAATTCTGAATGCAATGGGGAGAGGTGAAGGCAGAGATGACCCACCAAAGTATACGTTCTTTGACCGTGGAACCCCTTTGTATCAGGGTGACCTAGAGAAACAGACTGTTTCTGTTACCAGTCCCAAAGCTTCCTGCTGCAATCAGACCCCTTCCCAAAATCTGAATCACGACTTCTTTCCTCTCACAGACCTCAGCCTCCTCATCTGTTAGGTTCTGGGGTCCACCTCCCACCCTCAGGCTGTCCCAGGTCCCTGCCCTGCCTCAGGGCCAGGATCCAGAAGGGTTAGTGGTTACAATTAGGGCGGAGGGGGCAGTTTCCTGGCTCTGACCCTAGAGGCTTCCAGGGAGCTAGAAGCAGGGGAACAGAAGAGGGGGCAGGCAGAGTGAGCAGCTCCCCTCCACTCACTCACTGCCCCCCCCTCCAGCTCCACAACAATGCAACAGCGGGGCAGGCGGTGACAGTGGAGCTCTTCCTGACCCTGCAGCTGGTGATCTGCATCTTTGCCTCCACGGACGAGCGACGCAGCGACAACCTGGGCAGCCCTGCTCTCTCCATCGGTTTCTCTGTAACCCTGGGCCACCTCCTTGGAGTAAGTCACGGCCATAGGTTCCAGCCACTCTGCAGGAACCAAAACATACATGCCCCCCCCCCAAAGAAATATGGAAAAGATGTCCCAAAGAAAAATGTCCCACATGGGACATTGTAGAGAAATACACATACAACTCCCCAGAGGGACAATAACACAGAATGCCCAAGGGAGACACACAACCTGAGACTGGGGCTCCCAGACACCCCAAAGGGCAGACAGTCTTCAGTCAAGTAATACACGGTCAGGAATTAATCACTTTTTTTTTTTTTTTTTTTTTGAGACTGGGTCTCACTACGTAGCCTCGTCGGCTAGCCTGAAACTCACTCTGTAGATCAGGTTATCCTTGAACTCACTGAGATCCTCCTGCCTCTGCCTTCCGAGTGCTGGGATGAAAGGCGTGAGCCACTCGTGCCCCCTTTCAAGGGTTCACCTTAAACTGAGCCCAAGCTTCCAAGCACTGGGAGGGGGTGGGGGTGAGGACACCCCGCCCTGTTCTCAGTCTCCTTTTTTCTCTTACATACCCCATACCCCCCCACCCCACCCCACCCCACTCCACCCTCCTGCCTGCAGATCTACTTCACGGGCTGCTCCATGAACCCAGCACGCTCCCTGGCTCCGGCAGTTGTTACCGGCAAGTTTGATGACCACTGGGTAAGGGCCAAAGCCCTGACTTCCCCGTTCCTAGAAATCATCCCAGAGAGACACTAGGGGGCTATAACAGATGGGGGGGGGATAGAGGGGTGGACTTCTCAATCCCTCTCCACTTGTCCTGAAACATTGTCCCTGGGAAACATTTGTTCCACCCTTCAGAGCCGTGCCAAAGATTCTGTCCTCCCCTGTCCCTTGCTATAAATGAAGATAACAGTCAGTATTTTATCGGCTTTCTTGGGGGAAAATTAATCGAGTTTATCTCCATAACATAGTGCCTGGCATTCAGAACCCAGTAAATGATACTCATGCTTAACAGCTTGGTATGTGCTGGGCCCTTTGCTCAGAGCTTTGCAAACCTTGCTCGTTTAATTGTCCCATCTCTAAGAAGTGAGCATTCTGTAAGAAAAGAAACAGGTTCCGAGAAAGTGGGTTGTCTAAGTTCACACAAGTGGTAGAATCCGCACTCCCAGGCAGACAGCAGGCTTAAGAATTTGCCCACTCACCCACTACACTAACAAGTCGCCCTTGGTAGCTCAAGCTGACGGTATCAGAGGCACCCAAGGGCCTGTTCCTACGCAGCCTGGACAGCAGAATGTACGGTGGGGGGGGGGGGAGGGGGTGGGTCCGGCGGGCTGGGTGAGCCGGTATCATAATCTCTCCTCTAACCCGCACAGGTCTTCTGGATCGGGCCCCTGGTGGGCGCTATCATTGGCTCCCTCCTCTACAACTACCTGCTATTCCCCTCGACAAAGAGCCTGCAGGAGCGCCTGGCGGTGCTCAAGGGCCTAGAGCCCGACACTGATTGGGAGGAGCGCGAAGTGCGGCGGCGGCAGTCGGTGGAGCTCCACTCCCCGCAGAGCATGCCGCGTGGGAGCAAAGCCTGAGCGCCCCACCCCGCACCGCAGCGTACCGCAGCGCAGTCAGCGACCGCCCGCCCCTTCCCTCCCCCGGCGCACCGTCCGCCCCCGGTGCTGAGTGGCTGCTCCAGCGCCCGCAAGCACGGTGAGCCTCAAGAAGGGGCTCGCCCGGGAACCTGGCAGCACCCCCACCCGAAGTCTTGGCCCCAGCGACCATCCGGCTCATCTCTTGCAGGGAACCAGGAACTTGGGGAACCAAGCCAGTGGGGAGGGAAAGCAGGCGGGCGGGAGAAGGAGAGCTCTGGAGAGCCCGCACCTGGTGCAGGGGGAAACGTGCGTAGAGACCATCTTGGGGGGCCTGTGGTTGGTATCTGGTTTTGTTCAGATGTAAAAGTGCCCGTCCATCTCCGCGTGCTTCTCTCCTCACGTGCAGGGTCTACATGTGCCTGAGTGTGACCCTGAATGCCCATGGTGATACAGGGCCGGGATTTCTCATTCCCGCTTTAGCCGCCTACTCTGGGACCTGCAATAAATCCACTTTCTCTGCTATGGAAGAGTCCTCCTAGCAAGTCAGGCCCAGGAAGGAGTGGGGAGCTGGTTTCCAACCTCTTCCTCGACCTTCTGGGAAGACTCTACCATATTAACAGTCCTTGGCCCAAAGACTTGCCAGGACTCATTGCTGGAAGGAGCCTGTCAACTAGAGAACAATTCCCCTAGATATAACCTCTGGGGAACGGAGGACTGGGTATCCAAGGACTCCCCTTCTACCCCAAGGGAGGCCTCTTCAACCGGGAGAGGGTGTTGCAGGACTCTCTTCCCCAGGGAGCCCACACACCCGCAAAGATTAGTCTACCATTTGGGCAAAGAAAACAAAAGCCCTCCGTCGGGCTGCAGCTTTTGTCCTGAGAGGGGAGATTTGCAATTAGATACAGCATGAAAGGAGACACTCGGTTTCGCAAGTGAGCCCGGGATCCTGGCACACAGCACATGCCTATGGCTGGCAGGGCAAGGTGCTCAGGCATGCAACCACAGGCACCAAGCAACACCCCTCCGTCACTTGTTGCCCCTCCCCCCCCAGGAATCTCTGTTCTCTCTTTCATTTCCTCCCTCCCTGCCCTGTGCTCCTCGCTTTCCAGCTTACTGTGTGTGACCTTGCAGTCTGCGCTCTCGTGGATCAGAGAAAGGAAGTGACTGGACCAGGCAGAGGCGGGTCCAGAATCTGGAACCCAGACTTCTAAACCAGAGCAGGGCAACGGTTCTCAGATGAGATTAAACTGGGATTAAGTAAAACTATGCATATAAAGACTCCGTGTGAACTGTGATTCCATTATCACACATTATTAGGTTCGTTTTCATTATCACCGCCTTCTCCAGTAGGGGAAGGCAGAAAAGCCAGACCTCTAACTTTCTCTACTTCGTGTAATTGGTAGTTAAAGCAAATGGGAGCCCTGGGGCCCCAAGGTCCAGACAGAAGGAGCCGGGTTTGGCGCTGGCCGGCCGCTTCCTGGTCCAGGCTCTGAGCTTTCCTCCTTGCCTGCGAGCTGGCAGTCTTCCACCTTCTCCCTCAGTCACCCTTCCTCTCTTGGCAGCTGCTAACTAATCCAAGGCGTGAGCCTGGAGCCCCTTCTCCGTGTTGACTCTCAAGACTTCTAACTGCATTTGTCCATAGCACCAGCCTCATCCCAACACCCCATTCATGTGACCAGATCAAAACAAAATCTCTGTAGCTGTGACCTTTGTGTCTCCCTGACCAAATTTCTCGTTGGAGGCAAGAAGAGGCTCATTGGACGTACACACTGTGGGAAGGACCCTCCCATACTCCAACAGCTTCTGACAGTGACTTGACCTCATGGCTTCCGAAGAGTGGCATCAGTGACTGGGGCTGCCTCTCGGTCATTGCCTTGAAAGTTCAAAGGATTAAGGCACCCTATGCCCACTCCACTTACCCCAACACACCCCTCTTGAAGGTCAAGAACGTATCTGAACCACTTCCTGAGTCACATCCGCCCCAAGACTGAAGCCTAAATGATGGGCGAATCGGGGAATAAGTGATACGCGTCTCTGTGTCCCAGCACCACTTCCTATGTCTTAACTCATCTATGGAGACCTTCCATCGGTTCACGAAGGGTCACAGTCCCCAGCCATGTAAGACTTTACTGTTTCCACACGATTCCCCCAACATTCCAACCTTGTGAGATAGGCAGAGCAAATGCCCCTTTTCCCATTTGATTCTAGAACTGGGGCCCTAAAGGTTGGCCCAAAGACATACAGACAATACACAGCAGAGCCAAGACTTGAACCCAGGCTGTCTTACACAAGATCCTGCATCTTTCCACTGAGGCAAGCCCCAGTCTCTTCCTGAGAGCCCCTGACCAAAACCAGAACACTCAGCCCAGCCCAAGTCTCCATCTTATAGTGGACAGATGGCCTTGAAGTGGGTGGTGAGTGGGTCAGAGGAAATGCCACAAGGACTCATGGGTGGTTCCTGCCCTTGAAGGGCACCCAGTCAAGAAGGTGGAGCTCAGACACACCCAAACTAGACAGACACAGCACAGCATAGAGGCAGGTGAGCAGACTTCCAGGTCCCCAAACTGGGGACACACACAGCTCTGGACTGACAGGAGGAAGTGGCTGACCACCTGTCCCGGTGGCATCCTTCCCCCTTTCCCATTTTGTGCAGAATGACTTTGGTGTTGGTGTCTATAAGCTGTGGTCCTGAATGTACACCACGCCTCGCAGGCAGAGTGGAAGCTCCTCGGAGGCAAGGCATTCTCCTACTGTCTCTTCCTTTTGGTCTTGTCAACACAGTGTTCTGCATAGGAAACAATAAACGTCCATTCGTCAATAAACGCTTTATATCTCCCACAGCTTAACAATGGTCAATTCAGTCCACTTGCCAGAGACAGTCCAGGTTCCTAACATTTCCACCCCAACCCTCTCCTTCCAGGGGTCCCTATATTAGGAGAGATGGGAGAAGAGCCTTTCTCTGAGAGATGTTAGCCCCTCAGCCACAGGTAGGAAGACACTCTTCCCAGATGAACAGTTCCCAGGGAACTTCCTTTGGAACAGGAAGGTCAGGACCTTGAGTGCACAGGGCAAAGACAATTCTTATTATTACTTTTATTTTATCGCATGTGCTATGAACATGTTGCCTGCATATATGTCTGTGCACCGTGTATGTGCTTGGTGCTCATGAAGGCCAGAATAGGTGATCCCTTGGACTGGGTTACAGACCATTGCGAGCCACCATGTGAGCTCTGGGAACCGAACCCAGGTTCTCTGGAAGAGCAGTCAATGCTCTTAACCATGGAACGATCTCTCCAGCCCCTATTCTAAAATATAGTACCTATGACAGCAGTGGGAGGGACGGAATCACAGCCCCATTGTCACCCACAAGTGCCTGAGTTCCCTTAATCTTTAGTTCAGATCGGATCCTTGGCTCTGACACAGAAAAGAACTCCAGGAGACGACGTTGGACTGGAGTTCATTAAAAGACACTTTTATTAGAAGGAAAACGAGGACTAGCTGAGAGCGTGGGCATCGGCTTCTCAGTGAAGTCTGCCAGTGATGTGTCTGAGTGTTAGCCACATAGGACACGTTGGTGACCCTCAACAGGGTGCCGAGAAACTGGCTTTCTTCAATAAATGTGATTTCAGGGTGTCTCTGGAGGAGCCTTGGGTCTGAAAAAGTAAAACTGGAAGTTGCACAAGGAGGTTGGGATGTACGTTTTACGGTAAAGGGCGTTTCTGATGGAATTCCAAGAAAATTGCAGGTTTACAGCTGGGAAGGAGAAAGCCTTAAGCAAACGCTCGTTGCGTTGGGATTATTAACTCTGCGCTAGTCTGAGTCCCCTCTCTATAACAGATGGTGAAGCAGCTCCCAAGGTGTCTTGGGTGGGATTACAGTGAGATAAGAAAATCCCAGTAGACACCACATTTCACAAGTCTTTTTGATTGTAAATGATGTCTTCCCTGAGAGGCTAGAAAACTGGGGGTTTGTGGTTGGGAAAGGAGAAGGCTTTAAACAAATGTTGCCAACTGTGTTGAGATTTTTGGTTCTCCACTGGTACGAGGCTCCATCCAGACTCTGGGGTAATAGGCTCCTTTCTCTTCCCATGTCTCCATAATTTTGCCAGAAACTCTCTCCCATCGTTTCTCCAGTAAGGGATCTGGTAAGCCTGATGGTTAGAGAGATGAAAAGGCCTCAGACACAATCTTTGGAAACAGAACCGGTTGCCCTTGGGGGGACCTTGACAGACAGGGCCGTCTTTGGTGACACCAAGGCCAGTCCTTGTGACCAAGTCTGTGGTCTCTATCCCAGGCCACTGCCAGCCTGAGCAAGTGACTTCTGAGCTCTGGTCTTCTCACAAGGTTGCTTGGAATTAAATAATTAGCACAGAAGAGACAATTCCAACTTATATTTTAATCCATAAAATGGCAAGAACTAGTTCTTTTGTTTGTTTGTCTTTGAGACAGGGTCTCACTATGTAGTCTCTGGCTGATCTAGAACTCACTCTGTAGACCAGGCTGGCCTCGAACTCACAGAGATCTGCCTGCCTCTGCCTCCCAAAGACTGGAATAAAAGGTGTGAGCTACCATGCCTGACCCAAACTAACATCTTTTTTCCCTCCCCATCCCTGGGAATTGGACTTAGGGCCCCACATATGTGAGGCAATGGCTCTGCCGCTGAGTTGTCTTCCCAGCAAGGAAAGTTCTTAGCCTCCCGGTTGTTTGTCAGCTGGGGAGAGTAAGGTTCACATTCTCAGGTAGGAACGGCCTTTGATGGCCGGTCTCCCAGGAGCTCTGATTCCTGCCCACCCGAGGAAAATAGAATGTGAGACCTATGGATTCAGTAAGCCAGTGCCTGGACAAAAAAGGTGAAGAAAAATAAATTAATTAATGTTTTAAATATTTATTTATTATGTATACAATATTCTGTCTGTGTGTACGTCTGCAGGCCAGAAGAGGGCACCAGACCCCATTACAGATGGTTGTGAGCCACCATGTGGTTGCTGGGTATTGAACTCAGGACTCTTGGAAGGGCAGGCAATGCTCTTAACCTCTGAGCCATCTCTCCAGCCCACTTAATTTTTTTTAAAAAAAGGATAGAAGTGCTTAGGGAAGGCAAACTGAGAGCTACAGAGGGGGTGTGTCTGACCTCCAGGTCTTTGAAGCAATTATGGCCCTTCTTCAGTCTGAACCTCAAGCCCTAAAGAAAATCCTTATTGCAGCTGCCTTGCCCTGCTGGGGGCATAGCCTTGCAACTCCACAGAGAAAAGAACAGTCCACCTGACTGGAGCCGTTGGGGAGGAGTCGCTCAGCAGGAAATGCCAGGCAGAATGGGAAACAATAGCGGGGTTTCTTTGGACCCTGTTTTCTTTGGCCTCTTAGCTGCCACCTGGCCTGAAGTCCCTCCTCCAGGTTCTTGCTTTTCTGTAGGCACCTCCTCTCATCCTCTGCGGGACACGCATATCTTTCCTCTCTCCCGGCTGCACCGCAGGACTTAACTGCCCTGGGAGGTTTTTAAATGGATCATAGCATGAGAGCCTTGCTCTAGGGCTGGCACCATACAAAGTGCTCAAGCACGAATGGTGGAGGGCACAGGGGGCCCTGAGGTGGGTCCCTGCCCTGTCCCCAAGCCCTGGAAAGCCCTCTATCCTCCTTCCACACATACCCAACCTGGCGAGGGCTGAGAGCAGCAGAGGAGGTCTGGAGGCCCACAGGGGAGAGATAAGGGACAAGAGGGAGCTGGGAACTAGAAAAATGTGTGACCCAGTCCTAGAGTGTGAAGCACTTGATTGCGGTGGGAGTGGGGGCCAGAAAGACAAACTGTATGAGAGTCAGACATAGGAAAATGAGATAGAGACAGGCAAAAACAAAGACCCACGGATTAAGAGACTAAAGAACAGTGAAATAGAGAGTAGGCAGAAACAGTAATAGACAGGTTGACTGTAAAAGGAAGGAAGGAAAAAGCAGAAACCAAGAGTCAGAGAGGCAGGCAGAAACAGAAAGAGGATGACTTAGAAAACAAAAAGGGATAGAGAAAAAGAAAACGGCAAAGAGACCAGTGGGAGGGAGAAGAAATGAACGGAACACACAGAAAGAGAGAGAGAAGAGAAGAGAAGAGAAGAGAAGAGAAGAGAAGAGAAGAGAAGAGAAGAGAAGAGAA